ACTTGTTAGGACCTGAGTGCATCTGTGAAAATATTTGGCTGAGGATCATCCCTGACTCAAGTGACAGAGCTCAGCTTAACAGAATTAGTTTTAAACTGTCTCTTGTGAAGTCAGTCCCTGAGCATGAGTTGTGGCTTTGAAGTTTTGGGCTAGTTTATGTCATTTATTTATTTTCTGGAAACCACAGCCCCTTACATCTTGTGTCTACTTAAGAATGTATTTTTACATTGGAGGAGTAATTTCTAGCCTTTGCATTTTTACAAGAAAGTGACTCACAACCTGAATGTCCTCTYACAGCTCAGAGTGAGAAAAATTATGAGGATTCATAATCACTGAGTAACTGGGTGTGAAAAATCGAGGAGATTCTGAGATATGAGAGAAGGGCATGAAGTAATGTGCTTCAAATACATAACTTGAAACGAAATGGGAGAACTCCACTTGCTCCTTTGTTTAGAAATCCATCTTTAAGTAGCAGAGGAGCCAAGATAGAAGAGTTAGGATAGCAACATCTACCAGCCCTAACCTCCTACTCACATCTTCAGAGACAGCAGACATGGTGCTTGGAGGAAAAAAAGAATGGAAGGAGAGTTCAACCTCTCTTTTACACCTTTATCCCAAAGAAAAACTGTGAATAATGCCACTTTTTTGGAGGTATTTTGTAAAAGGAAGTATCATATCTTTTCTTCACCCAAGAAGAAAAGCATGACTCAAGCAGCCAGTGAATTTCTGGCATTGTGACAATGTTGGTGTTAAAAATGTTCTGGTGCCACTGTTTTGAGCACTGTAACATTAGGAAAGAAAAGGTTATGTGTATTTTGGTTGGAGTCACTTACTACATCTCCCAGAGTGCTGCTTTTTGAATGAAGAGTGTTGTGAGTGGTTGGAACAGGAGCTCCAGGGCTGTCAGATCATCAAAAATGCTTTTTGTGGGGATGCATGTTCACCCAAAGAGAAAAATGGGTATTTCTCAAGTGCTCTGTGGGCACGGAATAGCTGTGACACTATTTGTGAAAGGCAAACTTCTGCAAGGAAAAAAAAATAAAAAGGAAAAACAATTAAAAATAAAAAAAAAAAAGAAAGAAAAAAAAATGGGGACAAAAAAGAAATTTGTGTGCTGGTGGATTGTAATAGTGACCTGGCAAGCTGCATGGCACATGCATAGTTCTGCATGGCTGAACTGCAGAGGCAGTTTGTTTCCCTTTTCATTAAAACAATCTCAATAAAGAACATTTAGTTTGAGAAATTCATTTGAGTAACTACCTTGTTAGAAATAAAAATCTGGAAAGAGTGTTTTCTGTGTAGTTCATGGCAGTTTGTAGCCAGCCACATAGCCTGGTTATATCCTGAATACAGAGATCTTAAGAGGTTTTTTACATATCTTTTTCACCTATACCTTATTAAAAAAAATAAATAAATAAATAAAAAAAAACCAACCAAACCCTATCAGCAAAACAGTTAGGTTCTTGGGAATGGAGTAGCAAATACAAACAGCAGTTTCTATATCTATAATACAGGTTTGGAGGAGAAAAGGTGCAATGCAGCTTTGTCCTGCTAAACAGACTCAAAATGTTAGTAATTCTACAGCAGTAAGCCTTAAAAACACAAGTTTATGTTTTGAATAAATTTAAGGTGCTATTACATAACAACTTCAACCTTTTTTTTTTTTTTTGTTTTCTTCCCTCTTTCCCTTCTGCAGATCACACATCCGTGGGCGGGCTGGGAGACAGTTTTTATGAATATTTATTGAAAGCCTGGCTTATGTCAGACAAGATGGACACGGAGGCAAGGAAAATGTACGACGATGCAATTGAGGTGATTATAATTCATTGAGTTTTCCAATACAGKGGAACCATCTTTAATGATTTTAAGAAAATTCAATTAAATTTTTAAAAAAAAAGCCCCAACAAAGTAGGCAAAAAAAAAGCACCACCAACCACAAGAGTTGTTTTGATTATGTAAGTTTTAAGAAATCAAGTGATGAATAATACTAGCTTTCACTCTGAGTAGTTTAAAAAGTATTATTGTGGAATACATGTGATGCAGATTATTGTGCTAAAAATAGTCAGCTTGTCCCAAATGGTATAATGTAAAAGCCCAAGCTCTAAGTTATTAGAAGGAGATCTAGCAACCTTGAGATGTGTGCAGAACAACCAAGTCATTTTTTTTCCATTGTTGAGGAGTTGAAGCCCCAAATTTGTCATGTTGTATTCTTTACATTATTTTCTAAGGCATTTACACGTTATGTTCCATATTTATCTTGTAAWATGTGGTTSATATCTGTGGTTTTGTGACATGGTSTTACTCCCTGTCCCAGATCAAGSACTKYTTGCCCAAGCAGGGCAGGATTTCAGTCTGCTTTGGTGGGATTTGGGGTGGGGACCTTTTTGTGATGGCTTTGAGCTTTTTGCTGCCCAGTTTTTGCTTTCTAAATTTCCCCATCTTCCTCTCATAGTGGTGCCCACTTTGTCACTATTCCTGTGCTGCACTTGAGACCCTGATTTTAGCTGATTTTAGTAGATTTTAGCTGATTTTAGCTGATTTTATCTGATTTTAGTAGATTTTAGCTGATTTTAGCAGATTTTATCCATGTGAGCTGTGGTTCCAACAGCAGCAGACACTGTGTGGTTTTATCTAAATGCAGATGTGAAGTGGTGTCTGTTTTGTTCCATGCTCTGTGCATGCCCTGTTGCTTTCAACATAAGTTTTTYAAACTCTTTTTTAGTGCAAGTTGGTTTTCTAAAGTGAAACACCTGTTCCTGTAGCTCTCAAAATTTATATTTTAAAAGATACATRGTGTAAGTTCTAGTACAAAATTGCTTTGAAGCTGTAATATGTCTTCTTCCTGACCTGAATTTGATTACATTTGACTTCCAGCTGCTTTGACTTTTTCCTTCTCTGCATTGTTTTAAAGGTTATCTGCACCATGTAGCTGTTAACTATCAAATGTACAATAGGCATTCTCTCCTGAAGGAAAAATGATTGGGTTTTTTTTTTTTTTTGGTTGGTTTTTTTTTCTGGTCTCACAATATAAAACAGATTTTGAATTATTTCTTGAGCTTTTTTTCTATGTATTTTCCTGTGTCTTCAGTCTGGGGACTGAATGGTTCTTCTAAGGTGATTTTTGTAACTGATTTCTTGTGGGTTTTCTCCTCTTCATCCACTTTCCAGTTGCTTCGTTCTGAAGCTGCTTATAATCCTTTTGATTTACTGCCTTCCTGCTACTGTGATTTACATTCCTGATTCCTCAGTGTTTGACCTTTTACTTATCTCTATTGCAACACATTGTTCAGGCAAAACCCATTTTGTCACCTGTTCTGAGTGATTTTACAGAACAGACTTTATCATTATCTCTAGTTCCATCAATTTTTGTGTCACCTGCAATTCTTTTCTAGCATTTTTTTTTGGAGATCATTGTTAAAAATTCTGTCCAGTGTTGAATAAAAGTGTCTGTGCAGAATCTTCATGGGATAATGATTTTCACTTTTTTTTTTTTTTTTCCTTTGAGTGTTCTAACAAGCCAACTTTTAATCCACTTCATACATGCTTATGTGCTGCCTTGAATTTGTTTAGAACTAATATTTTGTAAAATACCAAGAAATTCCTGAAATCCCTAATATTTCTAGTATTAGCATACACGTATCAGTCAAACATTTATTTTTGACACCACATAATTCTTTAATATGATTGCTTTATTAACTTTTTAAACTAGTAATAAAACATTGGCTGTTTCCCACTCYTTTTGAACTTCTTAGCTTTCCAAGGTTTGTTAAATTCTGCATTACTAGTTCAAAACATTAGTTGTTTTATTTGTATTTTTAATAGGCTAAAATACRGTTTATTGGGTCCTGTGGGTTTAAAAATGTTTAGCAGCTGATGTCTAGCAGCCATTGTGGTTACTATTGAAATACTTAATTCTGATTTTTAACCTGTGGGCACTTTTAAATTAGAGGAAATAAACTTTGCTATTCATCCTCCTCACAGACATTTTGCATGGGCAATTCTCTGTCTCTRAATGGAGACAGAGCAAAGCAAATTTGGGACCAGATGAAAACACTTCGGATAGGAGGGAGGAAAAACTGAGCTTCTCCTGTTTCATGTGGGATTTTACCCATCAGAGGGTTCCTTCAGCTTTTTCTCAGCTAAACCCACCCTGTACATTTGAGTGTGCATGAATTTACTGATTTATGTGCTGTGGAATTTATTATGTGCTGTGGAATTTATTATGTGCTGTGGAATTTATTTATGTGCTGTGGAACATACTCTGTTTCAGGTTTTGTGTCTCTCCCAGGTCCTACTTGACACTGAAAGACAAAGAGTCATTAAGTAGGATTTGTTTTCCATAACTGCAGTTCCAATTTTTATTTAAAATACTTTTAAGAGGCCGTTCCCTTGCCTTTCTTTTGTTCTTACCTATAATATAGRTCTTCCTTCTAACACTTCTTGTGCTTTGCTTTTCAAAATGTGGAGCAGAAGCTCTTTGCATCATTATGCAAGCAGAAGGGGAAAGGTGTAGCATGCATTCCTCCCACTCCCAGCACAGAGCTGGAAATGTTCTCAGTCTAAAAGAATATCTTTGTCCAGCCACACTTGGCTCTCTTATCTTATTACAGCAGAATGAGGGGAAGATGGACAGCACAACCTCACTGCAAAGTCTCACAGTGATATCTCATTCCTTGGAGCTATCACAGGGAACAAAAATGCAGCATCTGTTCTTCAGATGTCAGGATTTCTGATCTGTGGCATATGAAGCCTTATCCAGGTCACCACACACTGCCTAACACAAATAAAACAAGTTGTACATCCATAACTTTGCCATATGTAACATGGGTGCAGCCTTTCCCTGTAAAGGACACTTCATTGCCACGTCCTAATGTGTAGATTCACAGTTGTGGTAAAAGCTGAAGTTGTGAAACTTGTTGGGGATTTTTTGTGGTGATAAAAATTGGGGATGGAACTCTTGACTTCACTTTCCAGATCAACAACATCATMAACTTTGCAGCCAGTCTGTGTCTTTTCTCCTTCTTACATCAGCTGGAGGATAGGTGAGCTCCCTTTTGATCTGCTGCCTTGAGTAGTCTGATCTGTTGGGCTCATAAATTTGATCCTCACTCTTTCTTTCTGCACAGCATTAGGGAGCTAAAGGAAGGATTCAGCAGTGTGCTTGACTGTCACAACATAGCTAGTACTGCTGCAGGACAGCTCAGAAAATGCTATTTTTTGTGGTGATGAAAAGCACACGAATGTCAGATAGGGAACATTCAGCTTTTGCATAGAATCCTCTGAGCTGGAAGGGATCCACAAGGGTCACTGAAATCCAGCTCCTGGCCCTGCACAGCACCATCCCCAAAATCACAGCATCCCCAAGAGTCACAGCATCCCCAAAATCACACCATCCCCAAAATCACACCATCCCCAAAATCACAGCATCCCCAAAATCACACCATCCCCAAAATCACACCATCCCCAAAATCACACCATCCCCAAAATCACAGCATCCCCAAAATCACAGCATCCCCAAAATCACACCATCCCTAAAATCACAGCATCCCCAAGAGTCACAGCATCCCCAAGAGTCACAGCATCCCCAAAATCACACCATCCCTAAAATCACACCATCCCCAAGGGTCACACCGTCCCCAAAATCACAGCATCCCCAAAATCACACCATCCCCAAGGATCACACCATCCCCAAAATCACACCATCCCCAAAATCACACCATCCCCAAAATCACAGCATCCCCAAAATCACACCATCCCCAAGGATCACAGCATCCCCAAAATCACAGCATCCCCAAAATCACAGCATCCCCAAAATCACAGCATCCCCAAGGGTCACACATCCCCAAGGGTCACACCATGTTCTTGAGAGAATGCTGTCAAAACACTTGAACTCTGTCAAGCTTGGTGCTGTGACCACTGTTGCAGTGTCCAGCCCCCCTCTGGGTGAATAACCTTTTCCTGCTGTCCAACCCAAATCTCCCCTGTCCCAAGTTCAGGCCATTCCCTCGGGTGCTGTCACTGTCACCAGAGCCAAGAGCCTTTCCCTCCACTGCCCCCATCCTACATGAGGATGTTGAACACTGAGGTGTCGCCTCAATCTCTTCTCTAGGCTGAACAAACCAAGTGACCTCAGCCACCCCTATTTTTCAGGCATTTCACACACTGAGGAAGCTTTTTCCATTAATTAGTCTTTATTGATGTGAATAAATCTTGCCTTTGGGGTTGGGGTGTGCACACCCACTCTGGTACAGTGTCCTTGCAGTCCAGCACGGTGTCATTGCTTTGCAGTGCCTGTTGAAGAACTCTCTTGCCCCAGCCATCCCATCACATCTATCCCAAACTGCTCCAACTTTTCTTATCCCATCRGTGCTCAGCTGTCCCTTTTTAATTGCTGTAAATATTAATTGTCATTTTTCTGCCGTTCRCAGACAGGGGGTTGATGAACAATGAAGTATTTTGAGAGAGTTGCATTGATTTTCTCCTTGAGATTCTTCCTTTGTGACTCCTAAGATCTAACCTTGTAATTAAGTAGATGATAGAACACGATTTTCAAATTTCAAACATAACCTCTTGTACCAGTCAGTTGATTCAAGTTCAGAAGATGTGTTTTCTGTTCAGAAGAGGAGCATGTTGCACCTAGAAYATGTTCTTCAGTCAAACCAAGTCTGGAGCAGAGGAGTTGCTGATGGAGAAATGTATAAATTTGGCTTTGTTAGTTATCCTCATGCTAACCACAGCAGTTTTGTCCACTGGAAATGCTTCTGCAACCATTTACTCCTCAACAGTTAGGAAATCATGGAAAGATAAAATGCAAAAGGAAATGTCATGTAACATTTGGAAAAGAATKCTTTCCTCTAGGAAATAAATAATCCATACACTTTTGTGCCTTCTTGCTTTTCCTAGTTAAAATGGCTTTTCTTCAAAGAGGACTCAACTTCCATGTACCATATGGTCCAAAGACGTCACTTTTGTCACAGTCTGGAATAACAGAACCAACAGAGTTAATGCTCCAGATCCTTCTCAGTGGCACTTTYCAGCAGATCCTCTTTCTTTCCTGTKGCAGTCASTTCAGAACAAATGAGCCTTGTACATTTAACCACATCATGCAGTGCTCAGTGCCAATTTGCTGATGGTTAGACAACCACCCTGGCAGCTGTCAGAACCTTCCTGGTTTCTGCTCTGTCAGTTATTTCTGTGTTTTCCTGCTGGATCCTGCCATGAGCACAAAGCTCTGATCTGTCTGTGGTGTTAGKGAAGGAATTAACCCAACAGGAATGCAATCCAGCACTTCTCTTTCATTATTTTCTCACTTAGACATAGTAAATATTTCAATAGGTTGGTGGGAATTGTGAAACTTTCTGAAAGAGGCTTAATCAAATATTGTTCCATCATTTAGTTAGGTCAGATATTCTTCTTGTAAGAGATGGACACCATTTATAAGTCATGAGTAACACCATATATTGGTACAAATGCACAAAAAGAAAATAAAATAATAATAAAATAATAATAAAAGTTTTTTTGTGATCAGCTGCTCTAACACTCACCCACAATTTGAGAAAGTGCAATCAAAAAGCTGCTATGGAGAAATTAGAAGGTTTCTATTAAAGACTGACTGAGGGTATAGGTTTGCTGACCAAAAGTTTCCAATGTGGATGTGTTTTCTGAGTACTCACAGTGTACAGAGCAACAAATAAATACTTCCCAGAGTTAACAGATAAATACTGTGAGCCATAAAATATGTRCTGAATTCTCAGCTAAAAGCACAGTGTTGTCTGTATTGTGATTTTCCTGTGTTAGATGTCATTATTAGCATTATTAGCAGTTATGGTATTTTTTTTGTGTGCTTGGAAATTGTGTTCTTATGACTGTTCCTGTAGTGCTAAGATGTAAATTGGACAGAAGAAAGTTCTTTTTGTTTTGAAAACTGTACTTTTTTTCTAGAAAGGAGTGCTAATATATAAAACTTGCATGTGAAACAGCATTTGAAATTTCTCTTAATTTTTTTGTAGGCCATAGAAAAACATCTCATCAGAAAGTCCAACGGAGGCCTGACCTTCATTGGGGAGTGGAAGAACGGGCACCTGGARAGAAAGATGGGCCATTTGACCTGTTTTGCAGGGGGAATGTTTGCCCTCGGAGCAGATGGSTCCAGAGATGATAAAGCTGGACATTATTTGCAGCTGGGAGCTGAAATTGCACATACATGTCACGAGTCATATGACAGGACAAGTAAGACCCATTGTTTATCTGATTTTTTCAATAGTTGGAATACAGCAGCTGTTGTAATTCTTTTTAGGATTTGTTATGAACCTGCTCTAGCAAGCACTGGTTTTATATCAATATGAATTTTTAGCACATAATATTTATTTTTGCTCTACATCATGGTRAGGAAATGTAAAACCAGACTTGATGGTTCCTTCATGCATGTTTATCCTTATTTTAGGATTTATAGATTTTTTTGGTTGAGGGAGGAGGGAGCTCCAGTGAACTTCTGTCCTCACTGATACATAGGGAAGCTTTTAATTTCATATCTACTTTTCTTGCAACTAAATAGAGGGGAAAAATTGTAAATAGACTTTTTACTGGTTTTACTGTGGGTAAGCACAAWTAAATGAGAGGATGAGGACTGATATGCAGACTGTGAGAAGGGCAAAGGAGGCAGCAGCACACACACTTCACTGTTAGGCTGGGATTTTCTCTAGGTCAGTCTTTTGGACCAGGATTATTTTGCATCTTTAGTAGTGACCTCRATGCTTGAAGTGTAGTGATTATGCTTGGGGTGGCTAGAAAGTTGTAAAATGTAATTAAAATGGAAGAGAGTCAGAATAGCAAGATCTCGAGAAGTGGACTATGAGAAATAAGTTCAGTAGAAAAAGTCAGGAGCTCTGTGTCTGAGCTGGGAGCTGAAAAATGTCCTGCTCTGTATCAGATGAAGAATTTCCAGCAGAGATTAGATAATATTAAGACTGTTAGGCTGTTATTTTACTGTTAGGCTGGAATTTTCTCAAGGTCAGTCTTTTGGACCAGGATTATTTTGCATCTTTAGTAGTAACCTTGATGTAGTGATTATGCTTGGGGTGCCTATAAAGTTGTAAAATGTAATTAAAATGGAAAAGTCTCAGAATAGCAAGCAGGAAGGTCTCGAGAAGTGGACTATGAGAAATAAGTTCAGTAGAAAAAGTCAGGAGCTCTGTGTCTGAGCTGGGAGTTGAAAAATGTCCTGCTCTGTATCAGATGAAGAATTTCCAGCAGAGATTAGATAATATTAAGACTGTTAGGCTGTTATTTTACTGTTAGGCTGGGATTTTCTCAAGGTGAGTCTTTTGGACCAGGATTATTTTGCATCTTTAGTAGTGACTTTGGTGCTTGAAGTGTAGTGATTATGTTTGGGGTGGATAGAAAGTTGTAAAATGTAATTAAAATGGAAGAGTCTCAGAATAGTAAGCAGGAAGATCTCAAGAAGTGGACTATCAGGAATTAAGTTCAGCAGAAAAAGTCAGGAGTTCTATGAGCTGGGAGTTGAAAAATGTCCTGCTCTGTATCAGATGAAGAATTTCCAGCAGAGATTAGATAATATTAAGACTGCCTTAGAAGACATGTGTAATTTGTCACCCAGAATACTCTGTATAAATCTGAATTTCAAGCAGAGCAAATGCAGAGAAGGACCAACAGAATGATTAGAGCAACAGAGCTTTTATCTTACAGTGGGGAAAATAAGAGATCAGCTCAGGCTAGAAGAACAATACCAAAGAAAAGAACAAATTTATGGGCATCTCAAGGGATAAACACTGAAGATAAATAGTAATTTTAAGACATAAACTAACACAGTTGTAACAAGAGCAGGATTTTGAAGGTCACTGTGAATAAATGTGGGTTGGAAATTGGAAATGGCTTTGCATGACCAGCAGTGAAGTGAGCTTCTGAAATACTTTCCCAGTAGAAATAATGATTACTAAAACTTCAACAGTTTTAAGATCAGAATTCATGTATTTATTCACAGGATTACACTGYATTATTGTATAGTTGCCTGTCTTTTTAAATAATTCAGTCACACAAGTGATCATTTTATTTGGGTAGCAACAGCATTAAAAAAGGGAAAAGAAAAAAGGATGCTTAAGAAAAAAGGTAGAACATAGTAGCTATGGTTGCATTCTGAAAAATTCCATTTAAATGTTTAATTTGACATTTAAAAATAAGCAATGCTAAATTTACAGTTGCTTGAGCAGACCTAATTTTATTCCTTCAGATGTTTATGCTGTACCCTAAATAAGTCAAAAGATGGGTGAGATAAAAGTTTTGATTACATATTTAATGACTCTAAGAACACATGAGTAAGAAAGACTGAAAGCTGTACAGACAGCCATAAATTTGCAATGCCCTCATTTTCTTTTGTTCAGTCATGCAGTCCCAGGAATGGGGATTGTTTGTGTTTGGATGTTTTSATTTTAATTTTCTGGACTGGTTTTTCAAAGAAAATGAAGAACTTATATGTGCATAATGTCAACTTACTTATTAGGTTTAAGAGCAGGATTTGATATATAATTGTACATTTTAATGACAGAACTGATGCAGAAAAAGTAAAAAAAAAAAGAAAAAAAGAAAAAAAAGGAAAAAAAAGAGCTCATGTCATGCAGAAAAAGTAAAAAAAAAAGCTCATGTCATGCAGAAAAAAGTAAAAAAAAAAATGCTCATGTCATGGTTTAGGATGAAAATACGACTTGATGAAGCAACTTAAATTTCCATAGCTGAGCACGAGTCTCAGCAGAAATTGAAACAGAATTTCACAGAATAAAAGGATTTTCTGGAAGATGAGGACATTATATTGCCAACTGTCATCAACCTGTTGCACATATTGCAGCTTTGAAGGCCTGTTAAAAAAAGCTTGATATTTCAGAAAGTCCTTGAAACTWTTCCTGATGTATTTTCATGGGAATTTTATCCCAGTAGCAAGGGATTTATTTCCAGGATCTGTTGAATTTGAGACTCCTCCCAAGGCTCTTCCCCTCTTGAGSAAATTGTGGGTGTCCTTAGAAAGACAGGATTTGAAAAGTTTTATTGATATTCAGTGAGAAAACTTAACTGCAACCAGAATATTTTTATAATATTTTATTTTTATAATAATATATTATAATAATATAATATTTTTATAATATAATAACTGCTTCCTACCTGCTCAACTATTTTTTTTGTACCATAACCTATCAATAGATTAATGCTGCAGCCATCCTAAATCTCCTCTCTTATGACAGGACATGTCAGGATTTTCCTGTGAGTTTGGAAAGAAGATTAAGAAAAACAGAGATAGGAATTGTGCTCTGATCTGTGCACAAGAAATCATAATTCTGTAAAAATACAGCTTCACGTGCTCACGGTGCAAAATTTCTCCATATTTAAGTTTATGTTCAAAATTGCACATCTTGATGTTTTTTGTTGTTCATGCTTAATGTGCACAGTTGAGAAATTTGGCACAGGTATAAAATAACTGGAAATGTGAAATCTGTAAATGACAACAAAAAAAAAGTCCAATGAAATGGAAAGAATAGAAAGATCATTAAYAAATAAGTCTGAATAATCAGCTTTCATAGGTATTGTAGGAGTTAGATAAATGATAAAAATTATCTCTATTATAGTCTGCATCATGAGCTGATCTATTGCACAGATTTATATTTATTTTTAGTACATTATACCATCCCTTGTGCATAACAGTTTTCTCAGGCATTAGCTGATGGTGTGTAAAGTATTGACTGACTACAGAGAGCTTATTTTAGGATGAAATTTTTTGCACTTGTTGAAAGTTTCTTGACAAGAGCTGTCCTCAGAATGGTGGTACAGTTTTTATGTGTGACAATTCTGTTACAGAATCAGCCACATGACTGAGATTTTTGAGACATATATAACTAAACAGGCAAAGCTGAAGAAATGAGAATAATTCTTGTTTTTGTAAGAACTATGAAATATCAATATATGTTGATGGAATGGTTCAATCTCAACCAGAAGTATTTTGGAGGTTCTCTTCCTGTTTTATATGAGTTAGAGGCCAGAGAGTATTATTATAATTATGAATCGTTTCTACTTTCAGGAAATTTATTGCTAGATTGACTGTAGTCTTAAAGGAACATACAAAACAATATTTTCAAAAATATTTCTGAAATTAGAAATATATTTATCCAAAAGTGTAAGGATTTGTCCTTACTAAGGCCCATTAGGGACATTAAGCAGTTAATATCTAAGGAGGGAAAAATGGGTGTAATATAACAAATAGGATATAGGTAAATAGTCCACTCTTGGAATGGATAAATGCTGTTAACCAGTGGCACTCTGATATATTTGATATATATATTTACACATTTGTGTATAGATGTGTGTGGTATATTTACATTTCATATTTTAATATACATTATAAATAAATAAAAMATGCACATATCTAAATGATCAGGAAAGAGCAGGAACAGTAATAAATATTCTGGTAATAACAAAAAAAATCACCATACAAGGACCTTATGAGGTTGAGTAACTGCATAATAAATTACTAAATTAAATTCAGTGGAGTTAAATGTAAAGTGAAGCACCTATGAAAAAATTACTCCTAACCTCACATATTAAATGATGAGTGTTAAGTGACCATTACTGTTCAGGAAATTGCTCTTGAGATTATGAAAATGTCAACTCAATAGAACTCAGGAAAAACAAAATGAGAAAGAGCAAAATAGAAAGTGTTATTATGTCACTGTATTAATCTTATCCACAGGTTTTTTTTTTTTGTTTTTTTTTTCTGTATTCAGTCTGCTCCTCTCATTTTTTTCTTTTGGCATCCAGAGCTATAGTCCCTTGAAACAAAAAGATTAAGGAACTTTTTTTTGGAGATTTTCTGCTGGGACATGCACTGAGAGTTGCTCATATTTTTCGTTATGGTATTTGAGGTTCCCCTTTCAGACCCATGAGACCATGGTTAATTTGAACCTCTAGCCCATGGGAATTACATGATTAATTGCTTTGATAATTTTKAAAGCTTAAATGCAGCTTCAGAGCTCAATGCCTTAAAAATTCTCTGCCAAAACAAWTGGTGGGGTTCAGCTGTAGATAAGAGAGCATTAATAATGTTAACTTTGAGGATTAATCTGTAGCTGTCTAATACAAAATATGTGAAAATTCAACTTCATATTTCAGACAATTTTTCTAYAGGTGCATCATTTTCATATGGGCAAGTGCTGGCACAGGGCCTTTACAGGTTCCTTTAAATAGTTTTTAAATAGAGTTTAAATATTGAATTATATATTCAATATAGTAGGGTTGAAATAGTGAATCTCTTCATTCAGAAATTTATTTTCAGGTGTAGTTAAAACTTCGTTGCCCAGTTGTAAATCTGATCACAGCATATCAGTGATCTGACAACAYTTCCTTAAACCAACAGTTTGGATAAARATACAGATTATTTGGGATGATGCTRCTTAGTTTAGTTCCATGATATTTTCCTGCTGTKCTGGGTGGGRWYWAARG